TTCCTTTTCCCTTTCCTTTCCTTTCCTTTCTTTTTCTTTTCTTTCTTCCTTCCTTCCTTTCTCTCTCTCTCTCTCTCTTTCTTTCTAAGATTTCTTGGGGCGCTTGGGGGGCTCAGTCGGTTAAGTGTCATACTTCGGCTCAGGTCATGATCTTGTGGTTCATGGCGTCGGGCTCCTTGCTGACAGCTGCTTCAGATTCTAATCTCCCTCTCTCTCTGCCCCTCCCTCACCCATGCTGTCTCTGTCTCTCTCAAAATAAATAAACTTTAAAAAGAAAAAGTTTACCCTTAGACCTAAATTCCAGGCCACAGGCATAGGCTCATCCTAGTTTCCCCCCGTTCCATATTTTACCTCCTTTCTCCAATTGTCTTCAATACACTTCAAAATCTGGCCAGTGTCCCTGTGTGCAGCTAATCCCCTTAAACAACTGGGCTTCCCTGGACTTGGATACTCTTCTCCTGTGCGCTTGGCTCCTGTGGGGCTACCTCCCCAACCCTCAACTCCAATGCCATCCTCGTGCATGGCTCCTGGCTGCCCCTGGGCTACCAAAAGTGTCTAAGAGCTTTATAGTTATTCCTTTATTCATTCATTCCACAAATACTTACTGAGCACCTACTATGTTCTAGGCATGTTTCCAGGGGGTGGACATAAAATAGGAAGACAGACAAAACTCCCTGACCTCACGGAGCTCACATTCTAGTGAAGGCAGATGGACAATAAACAGGTGAATGGGTACACCGCATGGTAAGGAGCGCTGTGGAGAAAAAGAAAATAGGGCAAGAGAACAAGAAGGCCCCGGAAACTGCTATTTTAATTTTTTTATTCACTTATTTTTTTAATGTTTATTTATTTTTGAGAGAGACGGCGTGTACACGCGAGCAGGGGAGGGGCAGAGAGAGAGGGAGAGACATAATCCCGAACAGGCTCCATCCACACTGACAGCACAGAGCCTGACACGGGGCTTCGCTGCACGAACTGTGAGATGATGGCCTGAGCCGAAACTGAGAGTGAGACACTTAACCCACTGAGCCACCCAGGCGCCCTGCAAATTGCTGTTTTATATTATCCTGTGCTACCATAAGGAGATCTCAAATATTAACCTATCACTCGGATGAAAAAACCACCCTCACAATTTGGAATAATGTTTGCAGCAAGTGTCATTCGTGCATTCAAAAAGCTCTGTGTTTCCAAGCACAAGTGAGGATGATATGTTCGAGAAAACCGTGTTAGGGAACTCAGAGGAGATGCTCAGGATCACGTGATGTGACAGAGAGAAGCAGAGAGGCAAGTGAAGAGTTTGAATCAATGTTCACAAACCACAAGAGTGGGAAAATGATCGTTGTGGACTAAAGTTATTCTTGATTTTTTT